TGAGGATATTCATTTCTATTGCAAACTCTACTACCTTTTAATTGCAAACACAAATTACTTTTATTAAATTATTATTTAAGTGCTAACAAAACTAAAATCACTTTTTAACTGGAAAAGAAAAGGAGGAATTGGTAAAAGGACATGAAAATCAACTACATTGCATATTGATAAATTAAAGTAAAAAATATAAAAAAAGAAAAGAAAGGATGTCCTAGAAGGCAAAATTAAGAGCCCAAAGAATAGCACTAAATGCCAAAAAGAACAACTCACTAGGAGTAGCACCAAGCCATAATTAAGGAGCTGGTAAGGTAACATGTTCCCAGCTGGATTTCAGAATTGCTATGGGAAGAATTGTATCTTCCCATTGTCTACATTCTTGAATGGAAATGGCTATGACAATAATCACATTCCTATTTCACCATTGTCATTGGCAGGGGCAGAGAGGAAGGATAGATAACTTTTCTCTCTAGTTAACAGGTCTTCAGAGAGAGAGAGAAACCATGCCCAAGAAACCAAACCCAAGTCTTCTAATCTGCACCTGGACCTAAAGTAGATGGTGAGATCCTAGGCCTCAAACTTGAGCCTAATGTTGTGATGGGATGAGACACATTGGTGAGTACATATTGTGTGTGAGATGAATGTAGATAATTTGGGGGCAGAGAACAAGCTGTTAATTTTGAAACAGGCCTGCAAAATCTTTGACACTCCTCCCATCAAGAGCTGTGGTCTATGCCCTCTTCCGTTGAATCAGGACTATCCTTAGTGATTCACTTATAATCAAGAGAACATAGTAGAAATGATGCTGTGTGACTTCTGAAGATAAGTCAAAAAAGACCATATACTTTCCACCTCATTTTTTGGAACACTTACCTTTGGAGCTCTGAACTACCTTGTGTTGGGCCGGCAGGATTGGGAGGGCCGGGATTGGGAGGACCAGAAAGCGGCAACAAAGTAGCGATGGAGCCTCCATCTTGTTAACTCCACCCCTCCTTCCCTCTCCCCTCTTCTCTCCCCGGAAGGCGGAAACCAGAAACTGAACCCTGCTCAATTCCATACCATATATGGGCAAAAAAACCACCAACAGCCCTCCCCCTAAAAATACCTGCTTGTATCCACCCTGGGCGCAACTTCCCCGGCCTCACTCCCTTGCAGGCCATGGAACCTCACCTGAGAGTGCTTCCATTAAAGCTTGCCTCGAACCCTTTGCCTAGCTCCTCTTGTTACTTACCACCGCCAATTTGAACCAGACACTTTGTAAAACCATCCTGAGGCCACCATGCTTTGAGCAAGCCCAGGCCAAATGGAGAGACCACACACAGACGCTACGGCTGGCTGCCCTAGCTGATGTCCCAGAAAACTGACAGCACAACCACCAGATAAAGATGTTTCCAAATGATTCTAGCCCCCAGCTGTCAAGTTCCCCCCATCATTGTGTTTCCACACCCAAGGTCACAGACATCACTGAGCAGAGACAATTTCTCCACACTATGCCCTTCTGAATTCCTGACCTGCAGAAACTTTGAGCATGATAAAAGGGTTGGTTTATGCCACTAAGTTCTGAAGTACTTTTTATGACATGACAGTAATCAGAATAACATTATAAAGGAAGAATTCATACTTTGCATTTCAAACAAGGAAACCAGGATAAAGATAAATTAAATAATAACCAAGATCACAGAGAAGCAAAGCAAAAATTCATAAACATACCTATATAATTCTAAAATCCATGTTTATAAGCATAATGCTACACTATATTCCATAGAGACATCCCTACCTTTGTATCTTTTCTTATTAACATTTACTCTGCCAAGGATTATATGCACACATTATTTGCTTCTCTAAGACCAAACCATCACTCAAGGCCATACTAAGTTCTACCTCCTCCATGAAGTACAACCCTAGACTCCAACCCTTAGCAATAGTCTTAAATTTATTTTCTACAACTTTTCATTGACATTTAGTGAATACTACTGTCACTAGCTCACAATTAGCAAATGCATTGCTTTCCTATGTATATTCCTTGGCTACCCTCCCAAATTACTCCCCTATACTAGAGTTGGAAATTCAAATGCCTACAGGATTGAAGCAGGCAACACACAGTGAAGTAGACTAGGTGCAAAAGAAAAAAAAAAGTGGCCTGGATTAAGTTACACTGGGAAGCAAATGCTTCATGTAAATGAGTCAGCCACTACCCAGTTACAGCACATTGATTTTCTTCATAGCATGTATCACCACCCAAAATATTATATATTTATTTGTTTATTGCCTGTTTCTCCTCAATAGAATGTAAGCTCTCTGACAGCAGGAACTGTTTCTACTTTGTTTGCTGCTATGGTACCAGAGCTTAAAACAATATCTGGCATTCAGTCAATAAATATCTGTCAAAGGAATAAACGAATGAACAAATATTGCCAAGTGGGAATGTGGGCCCAGTGTTATAAGCTCTTTCAATTTTTCAAGAGAAGCCAGAGATAAATAATTTTATGTGCAATCTCCCAATTTCTAAATGATGACAACTAATTAGAAAAACGTTAAGCCATTTTGGGGATGGGTAAACACAACACGTCTGCAGCCTTGGATTCAGTCTGAAGGCTGAATTTGCAATCTGTGTACTAGAAGGATTTTGGAATTTTTTTTATCTTTCTAATTACTTAGAACAGTGCCTTGTAAACTTGTAAGCAATTTGATAAGCAAATAATGATGGTGATGATGATGCCTCGAATATTCATGCTTAGAACACTGCTACAGTTCAGCTGTGTACTATTAATATACTACTCAAGTTCTTCTCTCAAATCTCAAGGAAAATTGCTTCAGCTTCTGATCTGAAATGACCACCCAGACTTCACATGACCATCCCACATCCAAGGTTCTAAAGTTTTTAGGACATGACAGTAACCAAAACAACATTGTAAAGGAACAACATTCCCATATGCTCCCAGTAATAAAGAAGAAAGGCAGTGAAAAGAAAAGAGATTGGATTTCAAAGGGGTGATAGAAAAAGAGAATCAAGTTTTAAACTCTATTTTCACAGTTGTAAATGAGAATTTCCAATGGCCATTTTGTTTTCCTTTTTACTGATTTTAGTTTTAGATTACACACTCTAAAATTTTACTTTTTTTGAACTTTCCAAGTTCTTTAGTAACATGTTTTATCTTTTCTACATAAAAATTATTAAGTAGGAATTTTTAAATATTGGCTAATTATTTAGAGATTCTTAACTCTAATAAAAAGTCACATGTCAATAATAAGAATGTGTCTGGCTTTAAACATGGGTCACTTAGCAACAAGCATAATTATGTAGGGCTGAGAACACTTGTAAGATACTTTAAAGAAAATATGCTAGTAAAAAGCATTTCCAGTGTACCCTATGCCAACTGACCCACAGCAAGTCAATCAGCTTTTGAAGTTGCAAAGGAAATGAGATGTCTTCGTGTTCCTTTTCTGTGTAGAGTCCAATGAGTACAGCCTTAAAAGTCTGTAGAAGATATCAACAAACATCAGAGGAATTCAACATTACAAATGATTATAAGTCCAAAAGAGTAAAATGCCTGCTAGTCTTCTATAGTCAGCATTCAGGACATTATTTTAATGACTACATAGATTAATTCACTATAATGCAGTTCTTCAATTTTTTTTTTCATTAATTTTTTATGTCAGCAGATTTTATTTTTAAATAGTTTCCATAGTGATTTAAATTAAAAGTAACAGTGAGGAAAATTTCTTTAGCCAAAGCTACTTATCAAAATTTAGTTTATCATGAAGCTCTGAACTTCCTACAGATTAAAAATACACATTTTATTTATCTATTTTTTTTTATATTCAAGGAACACCAAAAATGACACCCACTGGATGGGGAGAACCACAACCTGAATTTTCTTAAAAAACACAGATGAAATTGTGAAATAATTCACACTTGGGCAGAGGGGGAAAAGCCCAAAATCTGGGATCAAACCAACAAAGCCTTTCCACTTACCTACTTTTGGACCCCAGATAAGTTACTTAATCTCTTTAAAGCTCAATTTACTTTACTCATTTGGAAAAAGTGGAATCATAATACTTCATCATAGAGCTAGTATGAAAATTAAAATAAATGCATATTTATCATGTAAACCACTGAAATGAGGAAGAAATTGTTGTCAGTGTGGCCTAGCTTAGCCTAATGCAATGCAACGCCATGTTAAAAGTGCCTAGAACACCATGGTTTCACAAATGATGGAGATCATAGAGAATCCAGTCGACTCTTATCATAAATTTAATGCAGCAATGCTCCCTTTATCTCACCCTTGTTAAGAAAATAAAATAAAAATAAAAATAAGTTGCAAAATGATACCTATAATACTTATATGAACTTTTAAAGCATGGTGTGTATTATAAACAGAAAGATATGTATATACGTAATAATTGTATGATAATATTCACGGAAATGGCAAACATCAAATTCAGGGCAATGGTTACCTCTGAGGAAGGGGGCAAGGCACTGAGAGCAGGAGGGTTACACAGAGGGCTTCAACACTGTTCAGTGTGCTTTACTTCCTCAGCAATTAAATTAGACTAAAGCAAAGATGGTAAAATATTTAGATTCTATAGATCTGGCTAGCAGGCATATGGAGTTTGTCATATTATTTGCCATATTTTCTGTACCTTTAAAATATTTCACAATGGCAGTTTTCCCAGTCACAGAAACAGAAACAGGCAATTTCCCAAAAGAGACAACAGCTATTCTGGGGATACCTGGGAGTGGTGGTGGAGATGAAGGGGGCACAGGTATGATGGGGGTGGGAGGTGGAGGTGATTAAAGGAATGAGAGGACTGGGTATAGAAGAGAATATCCTCTCTGAGTTTTTGAAACAAGGAAGTCACTTTGCCTCCCAAAAATTAAGGAAAGAATTCAGCTATATAAGACTTAAAGAGTTTAGAAATGATTCATTGTTAATCCAGAAATCAGGTTACTTTACAGAGTGTACGTTACCTAAAAACATCATTAAACTGAAAATACTTACTACAACCCCACTCTTGGTGGTAGTTTCTCGGTATGTGAAGTTGCAAATTGCCCAGGCTAAATAATACGTGGACATGAGAGGGGTCTGTGAAAAGTGATCCGTAACCCATCCATCTTCCTCAAACACAGAAGTTTCCACTGGCATATTGGATAAAGATAAATAGGTTGCTTGATGCTTGATGCTGATTTTGAAAGTAGCCTTGTAGATTGGCTCATCAAAACAAGGAAATGCCTTTCTGGCATGTGTAGGTGAAAATTGAGTAATACCAAGGAATCTGGAAAAAAGAAAATGACATTCTTAATTACATTTATGGCTTGAGTTAAGTTATGGCCACATGCTATGCATCTGCTGATAAAATAACATATTTGGTCAAGTTGCAAAAATATGTTTTTTCTGAATCAAACATAAGTACATAAGTAGCACAAAAGCACGACTCATATAAAATACACTCCCTCAATAGAAGTTCTTCAGGGAAGTTTTTGTCTCAATTAAAACAAATTCCCTAAATCCAAAGCAGTACTTGTCAGGTGAAAATTTACACTCAGAAAAACAATTCATTGGCATGACATTAGCAAACATTAGAAAATAATGATTCTCCTTTTTGGTGTGCTTCACTTTCCTCCCTGAAACGTGTGATGTACAACATGTAAAGCAATAAAACCAAAAATCCAAACATTGTCCTCAGATATATGTAGAACATAGACTATCACTGGAGAATATCTGTGCTCTGAAATTTCAACAAGACATAGCCTGTTTTTGTTAAGAAAAAGGACTTTGAAACTTAGTAAATCTTGATCTAAATTCTGGCTCCACAATTTTCTTAGCCATATCATTTTAAACAATTACTAAACTCTTCTAAGGTATAGTTGTTCACTGCTGAAAAAGAAAATAATCAAGTATAACTCAGGAAGTACTGCAAAACTTAGAGGGAGAAAAAAGGTGTAAAGCACATATCACTGCAATAGCATGGAACAATCAATAAACGGCAATCACTGGTTCACAATATTTTCAGCCTTTCTTCGAGCACAGAAACATACATTTATACTAAATAGTCCAGAAACCATTGTTTTTACCGCTTATAATACATATGTTATATTCATACATATTAATAAATATGTCAATGTGTGGGTACACATACACAAATATATATTAGATATATAGATATAGATATATATTTAATACATTCAAGTTTTCAAATTAAGCTGTATCTCATTAAAATTTTAACAAGAAGCCACCTCTACATTCTTTCATAGTTTGTGGTTCCAACTAAATAGACACTCAAATTAAGTACTTTAAGAAGGACACTCTTCTAAATAAGAAAACATTCATGACAAAAGTTAATTAAGCTTTTTTAATAATATTAGTTACAAAACTTGATACAAGGCAAGTCAATATCACACCCTATGTAAAAAGTTACTGAGTTCAAAGGTAATTTCTTCAAAAGGCTCTTTCCACCTTAATTAGTTCTTCCACCACTCCTCTCCATCATCCACGGTATACATGGTTAATCTAGTATGGCACACTTTCCCACTGATACTGAACTTGGAGTCAAAATTATTTTCAGCATAGCACTTTAGGCAGCTACTGCAAATCAATGCTGGTTGACATGCATATTGAATCTTATTGGTTATCCCTGGCTCAAACCATGAGGTGTACATGTTTACACCATTTTAAAATTATGAAGCTTACATTTATCACTGAGGGCCAACCTTTCTAAAAAAGCTTAGTTTTGAAAAATAGGGTATTTTAAAGATTAATTGCATACTCAATCTCACAAAGAGAGTTTTCGAGAGTTATCTTAGAAGCAGCACTGGGCTTCTACATAACCAGAGCTTCATTAAGTCACTTAACTGCCTGGTCCTGTTTCTTCATTGGTAGGAGGAAAATAATCATATTTTCTAGGCCTTCCTTACAAAACTGCCCAAATGATAAAATGAGATAATATATGGAAAAGAACTTTTAACTATAAGTCTTCATACAAATATAAGGTTAAAGTTAGAAGCAATACTAGAAATAAATTGTCCCACTCTGGTAAATTTTTAATTAAAAAATTTTAAAATGAGCAGAGAAGCTGAATAAGCATTTCTCAAAGGAAGATATACGAATGGCCAATAGACACATGAAAAAATGCTCAACATCACTCAGCATTTGGGAAATGAAAATCAAAACGACTTTAAGATACCATCTCACTCCAGTTAGCATGGCTAATATCCAAAAGACTGAGAATGATAAGCGCTGGTGAGGATGTGGAGAAAAAGGGACCCTCCTACACTGTTGGTGAGACTGCAAAATGGTGCAGCCTTTATGTAAAACAGTATGGAGGTTCCTCAAACAACTACAGGTAGATCTACTATATGACCCAGTTATTCCACTGCTGGGAATATACCCAGAGGAATGGAAATCATCATGTTGAAAGGATACCTGCACTCCCAAGTTTATTGCAGCACTATTTACGATAGCCAAGAGTTGGAACCAGCCCAAATGTCCATCACCAGATGAGTGGATAAGGAAACCGTGGTATATCTACACAATGGAATTGTACTCTGATATAAAAAAGAATGAAATACTACCATTCACAGCAACATGGATGGACTTAGAGAAAATTATATTAAGTGAAACAACTCAAGCACAGAAAGAGAAATGCCACATGTTCTCATTTATTTGTGGGAGCTAAAAATAAATAAATAAATAAATACACAAACAAATGAACAGGGGGGAAGACACAATGATCAAGAACAATACTTTGAACTTGTTAAGACAAAGGAACAGATATGATGTTGATTGGGGGAGGGGTAGAAGGAGGGGGGAAAGAGGAATTTGTAAAGGGACATGAAAATCAACTACATTGTATACTGATAAATTAAAATAAAAATAAAAATAAATAAATAAGAATAAATAAAATAAAAAAGTAGATCCAATAGGGCTGAGTGATTTGTCCAAAGTTACAACGGCAATTAGCACAAAGCTGGGTCTAGAACTCACATTTTCTGTGTCTGAGTAAAAGCTAATTATATCTCAAAAGCAGTAAAATTAATTTTTAGTCATAATTTATAAACATTTTAATTCAACTATTGGTTACAAAGGTCTTCTTTTCAAATTTATCAGCATAGAGGTAATATTGTTTCTTATTATTTTCTGCTGATAGTAATACAGTTTTTGCTTAATGAAATGTCAGTACCTTTTAGTTAAAATGCACCCATTTACAATTTTGTCTTCATGAGCTTTTATCTTACATAATGCTCATGAATCTTACCTTTCAATTTATTAATTAAAATGTCCCCCAAGCTTGGCATTTCTCTACTGAGGCTATTTCAAGGATATTCATAGGATTTTATACATGAGAAAAGGAGTTCACTTTTAACTTTCAAGTATCTGAGAACTCCAATTCCAATCACTGAAAAAATAGATATTGCCTGCTATGTGTGAGCTTTTCACTATATTAGTACTTGGGAGGATTTTATTAAAAAGATATAACTATTTTTGTCCGTAAGATTTTTGTAATCTAATTGGAAAAAAATTTTTTTCTCCATGTGTGTGTGTTTGTATATACAAACACTTACACACAGGAGGATACTTCAAAAAGTTTGCGGAAAAATGAAACTAAAAGATGATACAAATCTCTTCATGAACTTTTTAAAGTACCCTCCTATGTATACAAACACACACGCACACACACACACGCACATACATGAAAAGACAACTACTAATACTAGGGAAAAAGTCCTACAAGAGTTCAACAGGGAGGTTGTAATTAGAATGTATTAGTCTTTAAGTAAAAATCAAAGGTATCTTTGACATTAAGTAATTAATGTATAGAAACTTACTAAGTGTAGAAGATCTCAATATCTCTGGGCTAATGGGAAATTAATAAACTAAATATTTATGCAGGGGAAATACATCGTGTCATCTCTTTTTGCCTTACCTGGTAAGTAAATATGTTAGGGAAGGTGGCAATTTAAATCACTGACCCTCAGGGTTGAAAAGGACTGTAAAGATCACCTAGTGACTTTTACTGCAATTAATATTCTTAATGAATTCATACATACAGTATATAGGTATGCACAGAGGGCCACCATATATTCTGATAATGTCTAAATGAGGAAATACCAATTTCACAGTCTGGCACCTGAGGACGATTACAATTGAATTTCAATCAGTATTTAGAAAATCTAAAGTCTCTTGGGAAAGAAGAGCAGTTGGACTAGATTACATTTTAGGTCTTTTCCAAGCTTGAGATCCTATAACCGAACAAAAATTAGAAATAAAATATTCCCCAAATTTGATGAGTTTCTTTAAAAATATTAAATTACACTACCACTAAATAGCTTCTTACCACAAGTTCTCTTAATCATGCATTTTTGAGTGTTCAGTACTGGGGAGAAAAAGATAAATATATATGCTTCCTTCCTGCAAGAAATTTATACTCTTATAAAATAAATTAACCATATACCTAAACAGGTATATGGTTAAATACTCTCCTTGACAAAAAAGGAAAATGTAAAAGAAATTACATTCTCCTAAAGCAGTTTCTCAACCTTGGCACTAGCGATATTTTAGCCTGGATAATTATTTGTTGTGGGGCTGTCAGGTGTACTGTAGGACGTTTAGCAGTATCCTTGGCCTTTGCCACTAGATGCCAGTAGCATTCCCTCTCCCCAGTTGAGATGACCAAAAATTGCTTCAGTTGAGAACCACCAGCCTAAAGAGTTCAAAGAAGGCTTTAGAGAGAAGGAAACATAAGAATTGGTCTTGAAACCTGGGTAGAAGTTTAAAGGTCACAGGTGAATAGAAAAATGAGTGAGTTGACTATAGGTCACACAGAAATAAGCCTTTAAAAAAGCTTTGACACACATATTCAGTTAGTGCCCTGTCTGTTGCCTCGCAGATTCTGGTTATGTCAGATCTCAATATTGCAAGTCCATCTCTAACCCCTCTCTCACCCTTGATACTCTCCTTTCTAACAAAGCAAGCCGGTCTCGGGTCAGAACCCTCAACAGGCAACAGTGCCTATAGGACTTCAAAAATATAATGTTGTCTTCACTGCATATATTTTATGGTCGCCTTCGGTTGGTGGAAATGAGACTTCTTTTTTGCTTTACTGTCATTAAAAACATCAAAGAGGCCTCTAGAAAGGGTGATTTAGAGAAGAAAATAATGAGTTTGGTTTTGGAGTGAATTTGAAGTGAGTTTGAAGTGGTCATCAACTATAAGAAATACAAAAAATTAATGTAAAATAGAAATTGTTTTAATATAGTATGGATATGAAATACATAT